ATATTCTTAATATTATCATATATCTATATAACTTATATAATTAATATAATACATGATATAAGCAACTGATAAATGTAATTGATGAATATTCCAAGAAAAAATTAATTATTTTGTAACATAAATTAAGATACATAAAAACTTTTTAAGTCAACCCTTACACTGTACATTAATCATGCTGATTTGCCTTTGTTCAAAACGTAAGGAAGCGAAAATAGTGCATTTTTAATATGTATACCTCACTGCATGTAGCAATTATAAAAAGATAAGTGAAAAAATGTCCAAGCAATTTATAAAAGTGATAGACGCAGAAATTTTCCAGAATTCCTTGAAGTGGACTGGGCATAAACAATGAAGCTTAAATTAGCCGATTTAAGGAGTGGACATGTAATAAAGCCAAGACAGAGACAATATGGTGTATACTGATGGACAAAAAAACAGGGCAAGGGTGAATTTGTGCAATTTAATGGGTTGCAGGAACAGTTCCAAAATTTTTATTTATTTTATTGAGTTTCATCGCATTTTACTGTTTCTGTCGTAATTTTAATTTTTTGCTACATTACTGTCGGAAAAATTAAATACCTATACACTTTCTTCAATAAATAATTAGTTTGGTATGACCACGTAAACAACATAAATAACTATAGGTGTGCACAAGTGTACAAACAGAAAATTTTCTTTGTACAACCAAAATGTATGGTAGTACAACAAAATTTAATAGTTTGCCTAACTGAGTAAAGATTGTGAATGTGATTTGGTTTTTAATACATAGAGCAATAATTTTGTTATTGTTAGTAAATAATTTATTTGTGTAATGATTCAACTAATAAACTATTTTCAACCAAACAATTGATTGACCCAACAATTTTTTTTTTCGTCCACTGCTTTCATGAAAGTAAGGTAATAATTGTAATTTTATGCAAACGTTCATTCGGAACTGTGGACGAAAAATAATACAATTAACAGATGTGTATTATAGAATTCAGTTTATTAAATAGACATAAGTTTATCACACGAATCATAGAAATTTTAAAAACCACGTAACATTACTTATCTAGGAAACAGTATGCGTAGATATAACTAATCCACTAAAGTAACCGTAAGCCAAAGCTATAATACTGACGAACTTTCGACTAAATTTTGTACGTATGTACTTAAGTACTTATATACTGATCAACCGCGTGCAGTGAGGTAACACAATACAGGAATGCAGAGTTGATTCGAGGGTGAAAGTCGAATAGTTCTTAAATATGTATGTATGTGGGTCAATTCATACATAAAAATTCGTATATTTTTCTGACTGAATGCAACTTTTGTTGTGCTATCATGTATTTAGTACATGGTATATTAATGTATAAGAAAATTTGTAAATTATGTATGAATCACGATATGAATACTTGCATAATGCACTTAATTTATTAATTTTATGTAATGCATTTAATAAAAAGAATATTAAAGAACAAACACAAAAATAATTTGTAGGAATTCTATGATGTAAAATTGAATGTGACAAATATGAAAAAAAAATGTGCATACTATGATTGTCGGTGAACGATGCGATGCGAATGTTTTATTGTTATTAACGATTGTAACGTAGGGAATAAGTTAATAGAAAGAATATTTTAAAACAACAGTAATAACGATGAATCTACTGAGATATAATTAATATTAGAATAAGAAATACTAGGTTTGATAATGTTCGTCTAATCTACAAATTTTTAATAATGAATGAAAAGTATAAAAGGGCAAAGATACTTTTCATAAAAAAAAAAAAAAAAAACTGATTTTTTATGATTATATTCAATATTCAGATTAACCATTACATAATAGTGTATTACACACCTTGGCCAGAAACGTAAACTATTGGTCTGGTAGTTTACTTTTCGACTGAGGTGCGTAAACTTTTTTTTAAATACACATGCTAGAAAAGTTTATATATTACGGAACTTAAGAATTCTAAGGTAATGTTGTACAAGTACAGAAAACACAAATTTTCAGTGGGGTATGTAAAAAATACGGTTACATTATCGCTTAGGCAACACTAATAATCTAGTATCTATTGTTGTTGGCACTGTTAAAATAGAGTCTCTTCTTCGCGTTCGTTACTAAAAATTTTCTATTCACGATCTGTTCATACAATATCAAACAAAAGTGTTTTTACGGTTCATAAATTAGATATAAATATTTTAAAAATGTTACGTGAACACAAAATAATAAAGAATTTAGCACCAACGCAAAGAAGAATATGAAATATCGTTTGTTAATACTATCTATATTGTTCTTAATGTAAGCAAATGATCAATTTATAAAAAAAAACTATGCTTATGCGTTTGAGGTACGACTTTAAAATATCTCACCAGAGCAAAAATTATTGGTATGAACCAGTTTTTTATGAGATACCGTATTTGTTTACAGTGCTTAATAATTTTATTGGATTTGTATTGAGTATTTTCAATTATTTCTTGAATAACATTCCAAACAAAAGTGTACAAAATACAAAAAAATTATATTGATGAGATTCAAAACTTGTATTGACTTTGTCCTTAAATCTTAGATATACACTGTTAAATCTAAATTAAAAAACTAATTTCATGATCTATTTAAAGGTTCCCATTAAATTTTTACATCATATGGTTCTGAAACAAATAACAAAAATAATTATTGATTCATTGGTGACTTGCAACTTGTTCTTTGATTCAACGTCATTTGATTGATCAGTTTTTAACTTTTTAAACTAAAGCAAAAATCTTATTTTGTACATCTTTTAAATATTCTTCGATCACTAATACATCAAATTGTCGTTCATTTGTTTAAAAAAACAAAAATGAGGTTAAATTTTCAATACAAATTTTGTTAAGTAATTATTGCCCTTAAATTTTACGTTAAAAATTTAAAAGGCTGGTTTTTATAGTTTTTAAGTTACATAGGTGCCAGTAAATCTTATCTATCCAATAAAACTTGCTGAATATAGTATTTAGTAGAAAGTTTATTGGTACCAAAAATGTGTGACACATGGAGTTACACTTTTTGGACTGGTGATAATATAGACTTCATCGAAAAATCCTCATTTTAAAAAAAATTGTGAAATCAGGCAACAAATGCCTACTTATTTACAAAACGTTACATTTTTAATTATAATAATATTTTTGCTTGTTTCTTGCACAATAGAAACTTGCACTGCTATTGTTTGTTAACACACATATGCCGTATAGACCATAGTCTCTCACGTAACTTGCACGTAAAGCCAAATTACACCATTAAACAATGTATTCTTGTTTGTTAAAAAAAAAAGGAACTGACGCACGATACTTAGTCATAAGTGAATTTGCTTACTAATCTAGTCGATGCAATTGTAGAATGATAGAGAATCATTGCAATTATATGAGGTTTGCTCATAAGAACTGTTTACATCTACTTTGGCCACTGTGGGCTTTCGAAAATGTACATGTATTTTTACTGTTTAGAGTCGCTTAGCGCAGATTCAAACGGCTCTTACAAAAAATAATTTTACAAAGGCAAGATTTTTAATTTTAACATTCCTTTATTTGTCTAATAACGATGTGACAAAAACTAGATTGTATTTCTAATTCTCTTACAATATTACAAGATTTTTGTAAATATGTACATAAAAAAGATTATATCGAATTCTATAACTGTAATTTGATAATAAAACATTTCCATCTATCGAACATTTTTTTAAAAATTTTACTCAACCTTCAAAAAATAAATATAATTTCAATTTGCTCTGACAAAAAAAATTAGAAAAAAAAAAATTTTATTAAAAAAATAAATTAAAAATATTGTATGCTTCTTCATACCATAAAACACTTTAATAAATATTGTAAATACCTAGAAATTATTTAATGAGGAAAATCTGAAAACTCAGATATCGAAATTTCAGTCAACAATAACATACATTAATAAACCTTGGACTGATGCAGCTGATTGATACTGTGATCTTGCTTTTCAAAGAATGACGTCAGTTTATCCTTGTTTAAAATTTTTTGGTCTTCTATTCCATTATCCATAGTCTCTGTCTTATTGTGGGATTGGTATCCCTTTTATTTATTATAGGAAGTCTTGGTTGTACAAAGAAAAATTGTTTGGACTAATTGGTGAGTTGATTGTGATGTTTAAAACAAAAATAAACAAAATATGAAGATACTAGGTATACTATCCGAATCCTCGTTACACAGAGACCATGGATGATATTACGTTGACAACTAGATGACGGCAATAGCAGACCCACAGATGATATGTACTGAATAGAGTCTCGCGCCAATTCTGAATCAGGTCAAGTTATGTTTTAGTGTCACTGAATGTGTGCTGTGTAGTTCTTTACAAAATGAATACTAGTGAATTAAGTTGAAATAAGATACTAAATTAAATGTTACTTTATGGTTCGTTTCAAATCTGGAATAAAAAGTTATCTGTTACATTCATTACATTACGTAAACTGTGAAAAACTTTTTTTTTATTTTTCAAGTTTGAGTAAATTTGTACTGATGGAACTCCACGTAAGATTACATTACACATAAGTCACATGTACTAGAATTACTTAAATATTATATTTTCTTGAAGATAAAATTCAAAAATGATCACGAAAGGTAAATTAAACGACATCTACTAGAAATACTGTGCACTGTTTACGTATCATCTTAACATCAACTAATGGTTAGTACCTTTTGACTACATTTTTTTAATTTTTTTTATTTAATGAACATTTCAGTAAAAAATACACTCACAAATGTTGTAGCTGTGCAAATGAAATTTTTTAACTTCGTGTTTTACAAGCAATGTTATAAAGCAAAGTTGAACATTACGACATTTTTTTTACTTCTCACGATTTAGACGCTGTAAAATTATGTCCCATAATTTTATCACTCTTAAATCACATAAAAATGTTGTAAAAAAATTATTGCTTATTTTTATGTTATTCCGTAAACGCTATGAAAAACTCGTTTTTACAGTTTCATAAAATACAATATGAAATTTGCAAAACATCAAGTATTTTTTACTAATTTTTAAGCAGTATAAGATCATGAAAAATTTTATAAGATTGTTTAAAGCTATACAAACAAACTTTTATACATTTTAAACGAATGTGTACACAATTAAAATCCAAAAAATTTTCAAATGATTAAAGCGCCATCTTTACGTAGTTTCATGTACAGTAAAATTTCTTTCTTATACTCATATGATATTTTACTGACTTATTATCTTAGTTCTGACAAAATTTGTGGAAAACAGTCCATACGAGCAAAGAAGATTGGACGGTTTAATAGTTTCACAGTCGCACTACTGGATGGTCAAACTTGCAAATGAAAAACCGCTGGATCAATACCCGGCTCGGCACTTCTGGCAACTTGTATCTCTGGTAACATATCAATCTAGTATTTGCTTAATTCCACCGAATAATATTAATTCATATCATGAACTAGTAGCTTTAATCGTATTCTACGTAGATTTTTAATTCAACCTTCAGATAGTACAATCATGTGGCTAGTAAGAGTTTTCTTCGAAAAGTATATTAATGATATACTGTTTAATTTTACTAACCTTCATACAAAGATTTTCATCTGTGGATATTTAATGAAAAAACATAAATCCAAAGCAACATTACCGATGCGATTAGATAATATTTGTTGAATATTTATCTTCTTAACTACGAAAACATTTTTTTACAACTTTTTGTTATTATAGTAATAAGTATATAGTAATAATAAATGAATAAATTAAAATGAAATAAAATATTTGATCAATTCATATTTTGGTACCTGTCTTGGCACCCATTTAAAAACCGTTTACACCAGTATATTGACTGTTCAAACAAAGTGGCTTTCCGTTTTCCTTTCATATGTTTAAAATCACGAGGAAAGTATCCCTGAAAAAGTTGAGACACAAAATCAGACAATGCAGGAGAGAAAAGCAATGTATAGCTACTACCTTAGCAATCCCCTCCACCGCTTGAACGACAGCTCAGTGTACGAGCAACTTTTCTTTTCTTCAAGATGGTTTTCTTTAGTATTTCACATTTATACCCATTGGACTAACATCTATTTTCTGTGCGAAAATTTTCGCGCTCTTTTTTCATTAGTGCAACCGATTCTTAACCATGCGTGTCCGTTTTTTAAATGCAGGTCCTCAAACACTTCATATTTTGAAACTGCAGTACAAAAGTATTTTTTGTAATAATGTTGTTGATCACTAGCATGACGGATTACTTTCTGGCATGAATATTTACCAATTTTGTAAGTAATACTATTTGAGAGCTACATTTCCTGGACTGCTTTTTAGACTATACTCAAGTGGCGCGCATGACCTGATATTTATACTCATCTTCTTCTCTCTTTCTCTCTCTTTTCCTGTCTCTCTCTTTCTACTTCTCTCTATTTTTCTAATCCTGTTTTCTCTCCCTCTCTATTTCCTCTCTTTTTCAAATGACAAACCTATTCAATTAATTATCAGTTTTCTCAAAGTATACTTTTTATTGAAAATTTTTAGTCCATCATTGACTGTAAAATTATTAAATAAATACAAAGAAGCCTTAAAATTATGTCAGTGTAATCACCGTCCAGATGAAATATCTTAACAGTTGACATTTAATTATTTACCACTATTAAATAACGTAGCATCGAAAAAATTTTATAATTGTAAATGCCAACTTTCGTGAAAGCAAATTTAATTAGTGATTGCTTCCAAACTTTAATAATGTGTCAAACGTAAAATAGTGAGCGCGTCAAGACATTAATTACTCTGTAAAAGAAACCAATGTAATATTCAAAATTTCAGTCAAGTTATTACACAATAAATTACCATCAGCATTTGAGTCGTATTTATTTATTTCAAACTACTAACGCTTATTTAAAAAATGGCATTAAACCTTTTGCAATTGCAATGAAAACACCTTAAAAAACGAATACTACAAAATTTCGCTTGACCCATATCGTTTCTTTGATCACGCGTATTGAAACTCCTTAAATAAAATAAAGTGCCTCAGTGCAGTCAATAATTCATTACATCACCATTCGTCAGCAAAACTACGATTCTTAAGTTCTCGATTGAATCGCAGTAAAAAAAATTTGTATTCTGTTGGACGGGTCAGACCTTCCATTTTTTCTATTTAGTGATTGAATCAGTATCCGTCTGTATCATATTGCTCGAAAAAAAGCCCAATTATTCAACAGAGGTCAACTTGGATTTGTAATGTTAAAGAGGTCAACTTCATTGAACAGACCAGAAAACATTGACTCGGATCTTTAGAAAAATAAAGTCTAGCCTCGATCTAAATATGAAAAAGAGATATATCTCTCTTAATTTTAAATAGTATGATGCGTATTGGTTAAAGACAGATGAGTAAAAAAATTTTTTGGTTCTTACGATTTTTATACGGGCATGCATCACTGAATTTCATTTAAACAAGCATTATAAATGTCTTTGTATACATACAAATAATTGATACCACGACTCGGAGTGAACAAAAAAAAATGTTTTCTGGCCATTTCTGTAATAAAAAATTATTTTAAAACTATGAGTTTTTAAATAATAGCTTCGCAATATTGAATAAAATTAATGTTTAGTTATATAAATTTCATGCGAATCGTTTTTTAAAATTTTACTTAACTTCATAAAAATTTTGTATGAATCAGAATTACGCATGGAGTGAGTACTTACCTTAAAAAGTTACAGCATCAACGAAATAATTTTCCCAAGCAAACCTCAAACACGTGTTTACCTTTTGAAGAGAACCAATGTCATTTAACTGCACCATCATAAGTACATAATACGTGGGAGCTATTTTAGTTTAAAAATATTTTTGGTTTTACTAATTCATTCTTGTTAATTATCTTATTCAAGATGATAAGTATTACTTTTTTCAAAGTTAAATAGATTTATTTTACATTACACACCTTAGTTGACCTTCTTCTTATCGTACGGCTACGTTAGCCCGTTTGTCTTCTCATATAAAGATAAGAAAATGTCATTATAATTACTATCAAAACTATAACTCAGAAAATGTGTGGAGAAAGTCGTATTGTATTTTAGTTTCGAATTTATCGTAGCTTTTTTATAAGGCAAGATAAAAAAATGTAAAATTCAATATGATTTTTATAAAGACAAAAAATGTGTTGAAAAAAAGCTACTATGACTGTCATCGTAAAATGTAGATGAATTTAATATTATAAAAAAACTTAGTTGTGCAAAAACAAGTTATTTTAGAGCTAACTTTGAAAAAACACTTTTGAAAAATACAATGATAAATCGTATTTGTTATTTGAATAATTTTTTGTAGAATAATTACACCTATCTATCATAAGAAATTAATTTAAGTGTTGTATTTTAACAGAAACGAAGAAAATGGAACATAAAATAGCTACTTTGGATTGGGCTGACTTAGCAGTTATTGCAGTAGCCATGGGTATAAGCGTTATCATCGGTTTGTACTATCGATTTTCTGGTGGTAAACAAAAAACTATACAGGTAATTTAAAATTAACATTCATATAAATTCTATATTAAGTAAGATATCTTATAAATCAACACGTATAATTTCAGGAATACTTTTCGGCAGACAAATCAATGAATATCATACCGATTGCCATAGGTCTGATGGTTTCATTTGTATCGGCAATAACACTGCTTGGAATTTCCGCTGAAAATTACACTTATGGTACTCAGTTTTTCGTCATAAACTTGTCGTACTTAATAGGTACGCCATTGGTTTGTTACGGTTATATGCCAGTATTTTTTAATATTGGAGCAATAAGTGCATTTGAGGTGATTATTTTCTTACTTTTTTAATTGAAAATATCATTGTCAAGTGAATCGATAAAAACTTTATTATTCAATAAACTTTTTTTTTTAGTATTTAGAAAAGCGGTTTGGACGTGCTTCACGTGTAGTTGCCGGTATAATTTATTGGATTCAATTACTTCTATACTCTGGAGTAGTCTTGTATGCCCCGGCTTTGACGCTAGAAGCCACGACAGGAATTGATAAAATTTGGAGTATAGTTGGAATAGGCGTGATTTGCGCGTTTTATTGCACTTTAGGTGGAATCAAGGCTGTATTGATAACCGATGTTTTCCAGGGAGGCTTAATGTTCACTTCACTATTTATTATTATATTTACGGCGGCCCACAAAGTAGGTGGATTCAGTGAAATCTGGCGAATAGCCTCAGAAGGCAAAAGAATTCAATTTGATGAGTAAGAAAAGAAGTTACCATCACTTAATACAAAGAAATATTTTACCATGATATTTTTCAATCAATAACCATTTATTACAGAATATCACTTGATCCAACGATTCGTCACACCTGGTGGGGTCTTCTTATTGGTGGATTAGGTAGTTACTTATCGTTGTACGGCGTAAACCAAGTTCAAATTCAACGGATGATGACTACAAAGTATCAAAAAACAGTTCAGTTGTTAAAATTTATAATATTTTGTAATAATTGTGTGATTCAATGAGTACAATTTATTTTGAAGTATAAAATCAGCTAGATTGGCATTATGGCTAAGTTGGCCAATCCTTGCGTTCTTGTCAGCGTTAACTTGCTATTCTGGTCTTGCCATGTACAGCTATTATTACAAATGTGATCCAAAAACTACAAACAGAATAGAATCTATGGATATGTTAATGCCACTGTTTGTGATGGACACATTATCAAACGTACCAGGTCTTCCTGGTTTATTCGTTGCTGGTTTGTCCAGTTTTTTAACTACCCCGTGTTAACCAAAATAGCAATAGCTAAAAATTTATCTCATTATAGATGAAATTAACTGTTCATAGGAATTTTCAGTGCTGGTTTAAGTACGATATCTGCAGGATTGAATTCTCTAGCTGCTGTCACATTAGAAGACTATATCAAACCAATGTACTCGTTTTGCTCAGGTCATAAACTCTCAGAAAACCAATCTATAGTTTGTAGTAAAATACTGGTGCTGGTATTTGGGATTTCGTGTATTGCCCTTGCCTTTGCTGCACAACTGCTGGGAGGTATTCTCCAGGTGAAATATTCTTCTATTACAATCTTGAAGATGAAATAATGTCATTGATTGATAATCATGTTATAGGCTAGCTTGACTATTTTTGGAGTAGTTGGAGGTCCTTTGCTTGGTATTTTCACCTTAGGAATGCTTGTTGAGTCTGCAAATGAAATTGGTGCCATAACAGGAACATTAATCTCGTTTGCATTTTGTATGTGGATTGCCTTTGGTCAGCCAAGGCCATTACCTCCTAAGTTGCCTGTTGACACATACGGCTGTAGCTATAATTTCAACGCTAGTATTTCATTTGAAGAAGCATTTGAAAAGTAGTGTCAAATGGATTTTAACTTTGCATATTAAATAATTTTATTTATTTTCAAAAATCAAATTTAACTGAGTAAATATATTTTTTCAGGAGTGATTCGTCTTACTTTTATTTGTACAAAATATCGTACATTTGGTATAGTGTGATTGGATTTCTTATCACAATGGCACTAGGATACGTAATCAGTAATTTGAGCCGTGTAGCTTTAAAAATACCGCATGATGAGCCAGATCCACAGCTATTTTTTCCTTTCATTGCCAGTCGTATAAAAAAACGACGACTTCAGACTGAAATTAATCAAAACAGGCAATTTTATACATCTACTGTGTGTTCTAGTCAACACGATAATTGTCCAAATAACGAAGAGTAAGAAAGTTGTAGACAAACTCGTACTATCCAATATTTTTAATAAGAACATGGATTATGTAACAAGTTTTGAACGTTTATTAGCTATTAACAGTGTTTTTTTACTACTATGTCACCTTAATTTTTACTTTAATGTATCTATTAATATCGTACTCTTTATATCTGACTGATTATAAAGTAGTAAGTTACCAACTATGAATATACGTGTGTACTGATAAGTTTTAGATATTGTTTTTTAGTTTTGATAATTAGTTCTCGTTGGACAAGTATTTTTGATAAATAAAAAATTGTTACTATCACACTATTGTTAATTTTACACAAAATAAATCATACTAAAACAGAAAATTTTGGCTACCCTTACTTACTTGACCATTTATAAAAACAATTTAAATGAATATCCAATATATAACATAAACTCAATTCGAATATTTTAATCCCTATGATTTTTTTCCGTTCAAAAAAGTAACCTGTATTAATTCAGAGTTGCTGTATGCAATAACAATGTATAAAAAAAATTTTTTTTTAATTTGCACCAGACTTTACAACCCTGATAACTGCTACTTATGTAAGACTCAGATAACAGAACCTTAGTGTCAGTTTTTATAAAATATGAAAGAAAGTTGTCATTGTAAGCGTGGTATGACAAAAAGTAACATAATCTCTTGTTATTAAAGTAAAAATAAAATTTTAATGAATTCACTTCTCTACAAAAACATACATTTTTGTAATTTCATACTATAAAGTGAGTAATACGGTATTTTAATAAGATTTTAAAACAGTTAATCAATATTAAGTATTTGTAATTTTAATGCTGAAATTTTGCATAAATATGTCGAGAAGATAGAAAGAATTGCAATGTTTGATGTGAATTATTTTTTACCACAAAATTTAGGTATCTAAGTAAGAAGACAAGTAAATAAAAAGTACGCATGTTTATTTGAAAAATCTTCTGCTAGTGTCAGCGTGAAATCAATATATACGATTGTAGTATTGTCCGTCGTAGCTAGCAAAGTTTATATCGCACCAAAAGAAAAAGTTAATAGTGTTCAGTGAAAAATTTGCTAGAACATATGTTTTTTACGTTATTTTTGTTTGCTTACTAGATTATAATTCTGTTTAAGAACTTAAATCATGACATAAACGTGAAATTTTTTCAAAGTTCATTAATTAATGGCGTGTATTTGAACTGATGTACCTTATATTGAGTAATAGTAAAAAAAAATTCCACCAATCACTGCAGTTTATAATTATTATTTTGTAAGGCCTAAGGCTTATTATTGGTAGAATAATGGGTGATCTAACCTTAAATAATATCCTGTACTGTAGCGTTCAGGTAGCTTGAGTAAGTGTCTGCTATTCTCGTTCTTCTGCTTGTAAGTTTTTTTTTTTTTTTTTTTTCGTTGGAATTTGTGTTAAGTT